TACTGTTAATAGATCATTTTCTTTTAAGAAGATTACGCCTGTCGATGTCTACTATGTTATCTGTGATCTAAAAACAAATAGTAGTGCTGGTCCTGATGATTTAGAAGCTAAATTTGTTAAATCCGCCGCGCATGTACTAATGTATCCTCTAGCAGATGTATTTAATTTGTCATTGACTACTTGTTCTATTCCGTCTATATGGAAATGTGCAAAAGTTACTCCACTGTTCAAAGGTGGAGACTCATCTGATGTCAATAATTATCGGCCAATTTCTATTATTTGTGCTATTGCAAAATTTTTTGAGAAATTAATATTTAATCAACTATCATCATTTATTAATACATTTCACATTTTATCTCCGTTACAGTCCATTGATAAAGGCCAAGCAACAGGAGCCATATTCATAGATTTTTCCAAGGCCTTTGATATGGTTAATCATTATCTTCTTCTTGATAAGTTGTTTAACTAGAGATGCTCTTCTTTGGTTTAATGCTTATCTTCATAACAGACGCCAATGTGTTTTTTTCAAGGTTCTCAGTCAGATTATGTAATTGTTGAAAAAGGTGTTCCACAAGGTTCCTCTCTTGGACCATTACTTTTTTCTATTTTTATTAATGATTTACCTCAGATTTGTTTAAACTGTTCGGTGCATCTTTATGCTGATGACACGGTAATTTATACCTCTAACTCCGATCTGTCACAAATTCAGAACTCTTTACAACTTGACTTTAATTTGGTTCAAGAATGGTGTCATAACAATATGCTTACATTAAATAAGAGGAAATCTTGCTGTATGATGTTTGGGTCGCGTCGTTGTCATTCGAACACTTTTGATTTGAATATTGCTGGTGATGATGGCTTATCTCTTGAGAATGTCAATGTATTTAAATATCTCGGCCTTTGGATCGACTCAGAACTCTCTTTCAAGCTCCATATACACTCACCGGCCACTTTATTAGGTACCCCATGCTAGTAACGGGTTGGACCCCCTTTTGCCTTCAGAACTGCCTCAATTCTTCGTGGCATAGATTCAACAAGGTGCTGGAAGCATTCCTCAGGGAGTTTGGTCCATATTGACATGATGGCATCACACAGTTGCCGCAGATTTGTCGGCTGCACATCCATGATGCGAATCTCCCGTTCCACCACATCCCAAAGATGCTCTATTGGGTTGAGATCTGGTGACTGTGGAGGCCATTTTAGTACAGTGAACTCATTGTCATGTTCAAGAAACCAATTTGAAATGATTAGAGCTTTGTGACATGGTGGAAGTAGCCATCAGAGGATGGGTACATGGTGGCCATAAAGGGATGGACATGGTCAGAAACAATGCTCAGGTAGGCCGTGGCATTTAAACGATGCCCAATTGGCACTAAGGGGCCTAAAGTGTGCCAGGAAAACATCCCCCACACCATTACACCACCACCACCAGCCTGCACAGTGGTAACAAGGCATGATGGTTCCATGTTCTCATTCTGTTTACGCCAAATTCTGACTCTACCATCTGAATGTCTCAACAGAAATCGAGACTCATCAGACCAGGCAACATTTTTCCAGTCTTCAACTGTTCAATTTTGGTGAGCTCTTGCAAATTGTAGCCTCTTTTTCCTATTTGTAGTGGAGATGAGTGGTACCCGGTGGAGTCTTCTGCTGTTGTAGCCCATCCGCCTCAAGGTTGTGCGTGTTGTGGCTTCACAAATGCTTTGCTGCATACCTCGGTTGTAACGAGTGGTTATTTCAGTCACTGTTGCCCTTCTATCAGCTCGAACCAGTCTGGCCATTCTCCTCTGACCTCTGGCATCAACAAGGCATTTCCCCCCACAGAACTGCCGCTCACTGGATGTTTTTTCTTTTTCGGACCATTCTCTGTAAACCCTAGAGATGGTTGTGCGTGAAAATCCCAGTAGATTAGCAGTTTCTGAAATACTCAGACCAGCCCTTCTGGCACCAACAATCATGCCACGTTCAAAGTCACTCAAATCAACTTTCTTCCCCATACTGATGCTCGGTTTGAACTGCAGGAGATTGTCTTGACCATGTCTACATGCCTAAATGCACTGAGTTGCCACCATGTGATTGGCTGCTTAGAAATTAAGTGTTAACGAGCAGTTGGACAGGTGTACCTAATAAAGTGGCCGGTGAGTGTAGATTATATTATTAAAAGAATTTATCACTGCCTGCGCTTACTTTATTGTTCAATTAATTGCTTTACATTTCAAGACAGGAAAAGAATTGTTGCTCAGCTAATATTTCCTCTTATTGACTATGCTGATACTGTTTACCAAAATACCTATGATATTTATCTTAAGCCTCTTATTGTTTATAATTCTTTGTGCAGATTCGTGTTAAGGTGTCCATATCGTACTCATCATTGCCATATGTATGAATTGCTTAATTGGTTGCATCCTAAATCCAGAAGACAATGTTATTGGTTTTTGTTTATCTTTAAATGTGTTTATTTTGCTTGTCCTTCTTATTTGAATGAACTTCTGATTCCATATAGATCTCCCTACTCTCTTAGACATTCGCAACATCCTTTTTTCTTTGTTCCAAAAACTGTTAGTGTAGTTGGACGTAGGTCATTTCTGTATAAAGCCCCTTTTGACTGGAATAATCTTCCTGTTTCTCTGAGATCTATTACCTCTCTCAGTCGTTTTAGGTTATGTCTTTTCTCTTATCTTAAAATAACTTGTTTATGTTTCTGATTTTATTTTATTTTGCTTTCTCTCTGTTGAGATTCATTTGAGGATCTTTTTGCTGTTACTACGTGGCTCTATGTTGATGATGTATGATGGTGAGATTTTGTACTGAAACTACTGAAACTATGTTTCGGGTGTGGGAAGCCCACAAGAGTGTGGGAAGCAGGTTGAGCTTTTTCTTTTTCTTTTGTCTTTGTAGTTTTGTTTTGTAATGATGTTTTGTTTTATGTTGTCTGTGTTGTAAATTGCTCATGTTTTTAGGACCCCCTTGAAAATGAGATGTTACATCTCAAGGGGCGATCCTTTCAATAAATTCAAAGTATATTTCTGCATAGTGATTTGGATTATTTTGATCATGCAAATGCATTACTAATCAATGTAATCCTAAAGGAGTTATAAGATATATGTTGCTTTATGTCTGCACTTTTTCAGCAATTACATTGTTCTTGAAGTACAAGACAGCAAATTAAAAATCTTAAGACCCTCAGTGAAGTTCTTCATTTTCCATCGGGATGCTACACTTAGAGAAACCAGCATACTATTATACAATGATACAAACGTAATTTCCGACTCACTTAATGCTCATAATATAAAGCTCCCATGATTCTATACCTAGAAGAACACCATTTAATGTTCAACTGTAGACAAACATACAGGCAAGTGTTGGGGATTAGGCTAACTACATACATGCAATTTAGTCAAATAATTTAATTACAAAAGTGTTGTCTGTTACAGTTAGGCCTACTGGTAAAATATGTAATTAAATCACAATTTCTTATGAAAATGTTTAAGATGCCATATGAATATTTTCTTTAATAAGCTTGGCTATATATTGAATAATATTCATTTTGTTGCATTATGTGTATTTCATATGCACGTTGTCTTCCTTTGCCATTTCCAGCCACAGTTGTTTAGTAAAGTTTGTTGCTGTTCTGGTGCTTTTGATTGGTTCTCATGTTTGAATTTGCAGCACTCAATTAAACTGCCTCTCAAGCTGTGTTTTTAAAATGGTTAACCATTGAAAAACAAAACATTTTTGGCAGCATCAAATATGAGGAAAACATTGATATAAATAAAACATGTAGCTTGTTGTTGGTGTATTTTTTATATTTTAAAATACAGTTGGGTACACAAAGTAAATGATAAAAGCACAATTTTAATCTACAGAATAGACCCAAAATAAACATCGTGCCAGTTAAATGAAAGATGGGAGGCTAGAACTTCAAGTTGTCCCTGTTATCTATAATACAAAAATATAGCATAATTTTTTATGGCCTATAGGCTATTCAATTAAATTACAAATGTTACCAGTTATATTTTAGTTAGTTTTTAGTTTAAGTTAGAACTAAAGTCTATTAACGAATAAATGTAAAAACACACTCAATGTATATTTAAGTAAACCCCACAATTAATTGAGTTTTTGAAGTTTCTGTTGTAACGTCTATTGCCGTTTTCATCCACTAGATGGTGCCATTGTCTTTGAATAGGCCTTGTGATGAGTGTTTAACCATTTGATGTGTATGTGAGCATGGCAGTGTGTTTGGTTTGTGACACTGAGTGTGATGTAGTTTTAGTGTAGCCTATAACAATAGTGTGTACAAGTTCACAGCAGACCAACAGAAACAGTGATAGCTGCCATTTGGCTGAACAAATATGGAAGAATTAATTGGACTTTAATATTTGTAACCCACAGAAGACAATCTACAAATGTGTACAATGATGCGCAAATATTTCACTATCTGCAAATGTGTATATTTACATTTGTGATACGTAAAATCATATCCACAAAAATACAGGGTGATGTGTAACACACAAAACTGTTTTTACACATTTGCAGATTACTTCCTGTGAATTTGTGGGTCACGTTACATTTGTAAGTTCCTTTTTACACATTTGTGGAATTTTGTCCAATGTGTACTGCGGAGATCTGTAAATAAACATATACACAAATATCTCACGATTTGCAAATACACACAAATAAATCTGTACAAATATCTTTTTATGTTTATTTACAGATCTCCGCAGTATTAGCACCTAACCTAACCTGACCCTAACCCTAACCCTGGGTTACAAATATTAAAGTCCAATTAATTCTTCCATAGTCTTCAGTCTTTAATGCCTTTCATAGACGCCAAGTCCAAAAAAAAATAATTTTTGTGAGCAAAGAATGCATAAAGGCCCAGTCGCTCTGAGAAGGAAGACACAAGACTCTGTCCAGAGGAACGCATTGCTTCGGCTCTGTGAACGTTTGCTCTGAACGAATGCCTGACACATGAAGTTAAACACGGAAACATGAAGACATCAGGCAGATTCATTTATTCAGATTCAAATATTTACACTGAAAAAATCAGTTTTCAGCAGAAATAGAACATTTTACAATAATAAATCATCAAATGAATCTCACAACAACTGGAATATGTTAATTTACTGCTCAATGTTTAGTTTATGCTGAAGTTCTGAAAATACATGTAATGAATGTCTTCACAGTCCTGCACAGCTTTAAAAAAAAACAACACTAAAACTGAGAAACTGAAAAACTGTGTTGCTTCTTCACTGTCAAAATTACACACACAACGTGGCGAAGTGTTCATCACCAATAAACTGAAGGACTAAAGCTGGTGAAAGTGTGTGTGACTGTCAGTTCAGCCAGCTGTGTGTGTGTGTGACGGTCAGTTCAGCCAGCTGTGTGTGTGTGACGGTCAGTTCAGCCAGCTGTGTGTGTGTGACGGTCAGTTCAGCCAGCTGTGTGTGTGTGACGGTCAGTTCAGCCAGCTGGTGTTGAGCCGAGTCTGATTCTTGATGCTGGTGTCCATCTTCAGCACTTCTCTGACGGCCATCGTGGCGTAAGTGGAGGACGGCAGAGAAAACTCCATCTTCAGCGCCCGATATTTCCCTTCTGTAGAGGCACACACACACACACACACACAATAATGAAATGAGACGGTCAGAGTTATATTATAGCAGGCAGCTAAATCTGACAAAAGCTGTTATCTTTAGATTATAATATTTGTATTTAGTTGCATAATCAACAATAGTATTGATCTGCCTGCATTGACAGCATTATATGAGAACTAAACTGAGCTGGATGATGACATCACGGTTTTCTCAAGAGTGGCTATATATATATATATATATATATAAATAAATGAACTAAATTAATAACATCTTTACAACAGAAATGAACCATCACTGAACTTACTTAAGCTGGACTGTGACGCTATTTTCTTCTAGAAACAAAAGTTTGTTGCATTATTTTCCAGTTATCTCTGTAAAGCTGCTTTGAAACACTCTGTATTGTAAAAAAACACTATATAAATAAAGGAGACTCGACTCAATCTACTTCCTGGGTAAAAAAAAAAAAAGGTGTTGTTTGGATTTAAATAAGCAAATACTTTAAGAGTTGAATCAGGATCATTATTGCAGTGATTAATATATTTCTGCTCACTGAACAGCCACCGGTGGCGCTAATAACAAGAGCGTCTGCTGCTGTAGTTCACTAAATGGCCACCGGTGGCGCTAATAACAAGAGCTTCTGCTACTGTAGTTCACTGAATGGCCACCGGTGGCGCTAATAACAAGAGTGTCTGCTGCTGTAGTTCACTGAATGGCCACCGGTGGCGCTAATAACAAGAGCTTCTGCTGCTGTAGTTCACTGAATGGCCACCGGTGGCGCTAATAACAAGAGCTTCTGCTGCTGTAGTTCACTGAATGGCCACCGGTGGCGCTAATAACAAGAGCTTCTGCTGCTGTAGTTCACTGAATGGCCACCGGTGGCGCTAATAACAAGAGCGTCTGCTGCTGTAGTTCACTGAATGGCCACCGGTGGCGCTAATAACAAGAGCTTCTGCTGCTGTAGTTCACTGAATGGCCACCGGTGGCGCTAATAACAAGAGCGTCTGCTGCTGTAGTTCACTGAATGGCCACCGGTGGCGCTAATAACAGGAGCTTCTGCTGCTGTAGTTCACTGAATGGCCACCGGTAGCGCTAATAACAAGAGCGTCTGCTGCTGTAGTTCACTGAATGGCCACCGGTGGCGCTAATAACAAGAGCTTCTGCTACTGTAGTTCACTGAATGGCCACCGGTGGCGCTAATAACAAGAGCTTCTGCTGCTGTAATTCACTGAATGGCCACCGGTGGCGCTAATAAGAGCGTCTGCTGTAGTTCACTGAATGGCCACCGGTGGCGCTAATAACAAGAGCTTCTGCTGCTGTAATTCACTGAATGGCCACCGGTAGCGCTAATAAGAGCGTCTGCTGTAGTTCAGTGAATGGCCACCGGTAGCGCTAATAAGAGCGTCTGCTGTAGTTCACTGAATGGCCACCGGTGGCGCTAATAACAAGAGCTTCTGCTGCTGTAGTTCACTGAATGGCCACCGGTGGCGCTAATAACAAGAGCTTCTGCTGCTGTAGTTCACTGAATGGCCACCGGTAGCGCTAATAACAAGAGCGTCTGCTGCTGTAGTTCACTGAATGGCCACCGGTGGCGCTAATAACAAGAGCTTCTGCTACTGTAGTTCACTGAATGGCCACCGGTGGCGCTAATAACAAGAGCTTCTGCTGCTGTAATTCACTGAATGGCCACCGGTGGCGCTAATAAGAGCGTCTGCTGTAGTTCACTGAATGGCCACCGGTGGCGCTAATAACAAGAGCTTCTGCTGCTGTAGTTCACTGAATGGCCACCGGTGGCGCTAATAACAAGAGCTTCTGCTGCTGTAGTTCACTGAATGGCCACCGGTGGCGCTAATAACAAGAGCTTCTGCTGCTGTAGTTCACTGAATGGCCACCGGTGGCGCTAATAACAAGAGTGTCTGCTGCTGTAGTTCACTGAATGGCCACCGGTGGCGCTAATAACAAGAGCTTCTGCTGCTGTAGTTCACTGAATGGCCACCGGTGGCGCTAATAACAAGAGCTTCTGCTGCTGTAGTTCACTGAATGGCCACCGGTGGCGCTAATAACAAGAGCTTCTGCTGCTGTAGTTCACTGAATGGCCACCGGTGGCGCTAATAACAAGAGCGTCTGCTGCTGTAGTTCACTGAATGGCCACCGGTGGCGCTAATAACAAGAGCTTCTGCTGCTGTAGTTCACTGAATGGCCACAGGTGGCGCTAATAACAAGAGCGTCTGCTGCTGTAGTTCACTGAATGGCCACCGGTGGCGCTAATAACAGGAGCTTCTGCTGCTGTAGTTCACTGAATGGCCACCGGTAGCGCTAATAACAAGAGCGTCTGCTGCTGTAGTTCACTGAATGGCCACCGGTGGCGCTAATAACAAGAGCTTCTGCTGCTGTAGTTCACTGAATGGCCACCGGTGGCGCTAATAACAAGAGCTTCTGCTACTGTAGTTCACTGAATGGCCACCGGTGGCGCTAATAACAAGAGCTTCTGCTGCTGTAATTCACTGAATGGCCACCGGTGGCGCTAATAAGAGCGTCTGCTGTAGTTCACTGAATGGCCACCGGTGGCGCTAATAACAAGAGCTTCTGCTACTGTAGTTCACTGAATGGCCACCGGTGGCGCTAATAACAAGAGTGTCTGCTGCTGTAGTTCACTGAATGGCCACCGGTGGCGCTAATAACAAGAGCTTCTGCTGCTGTAGTTCACTGAATGGCCACCGGTGGCGCTAATAACAAGAGCTTCTGCTGCTGTAGTTCACTGAATGGCCACCGGTGGCGCTAATAACAAGAGCGTCTGCTGCTGTAGTTCACTGAATGGCCACCGGTGGCGCTAATAACAAGAGCTTCTGCTGCTGTAGTTCACTGAATGGCCACCGGTGGCGCTAATAACAAGAGCTTCTGCTGCTGTAGTTCACTGAATGGCCACCGGTGGCGCTAATAACAAGAGCGTCTGCTGCTGTAGTTCACTGAATGGCCACCGGTGGCGCTAATAACAGGAGCTTCTGCTGCTGTAGTTCACTGAATGGCCACCGGTAGCGCTAATAACAAGAGCTTCTGCTGCTGTAGTTCACTGAATGGCCACCGGTGGCGCTAATAACAAGAGCTTCTGCTGCTGTAGTTCACTGAATGGCCACCGGTGGCGCTAATAACAAGAGCTTCTGCTGCTGTAGTTCACTGAATGGCCACCGGTGGCGCTAATAACAAGAGCTTCTGCTGCTGTAGTTCACTGAATGGCCACCGGTGGCGCTAATAACAAGAGCTTCTGAATTCTACATTCAGCCTCTTTAAACATGCGCGTACAGTCGCTGGAATGTGCTGGAGTGAACTTTACAGAGCGCTTTAACTTCCTCTCGGCCAGACATTAATGCAACTCTAGATGGAAGGATACGTTATGATGATGCGTGAGGTTGTGGTAACAATGACGTGACAAATCCACACTGTAATCTATGAGTGAGTGTGTGTGAGAGAGTGTGAGTGTGTGCGTGTGTGTGTGTTCTGAACCTTTGAGGTAGACTGGAGCTGGAGTGTTTTCTAGTTTCTCCACATCTGAGAGAACGAGAGGCACTCGCGGATCATCGTACTGAATCAGCTCCCTTTGGAGAAACACACACAGAATCATCAGAACCAGCGCTGAACACACACACTGACGGAGAGAGAGAGATTCTCACCAGCTGACGTCACTGGGGCGAATGAGGAGTTTACGGTACGCGCCGGCCAGAGAATAATCACGAACTTTGTGCCTCATATTCTGGATGTCCAGATCGTCAGCGCTCAGCATATCTCCGTATCCTCGACCCACTGCAGCAGAAACACACACACACACACACACACACACACACACGTCAGACCAGCTGCTGAACACACACACACACACACCTCAAACACGTCAGACCAGCTGCTGAACACACACACACACACACACCTCAAACACGTCAGACCAGCTGCTGAACACACACACACACACACACACACAGGTCAGACCAGCTGCTGAACACACACACACACACACACACCTCAAACACGTCAGACCAGCTGCTGAACACACACACACACACACCTCAAACACGTCAGACCAGCTGCTGAACACACACACACCTCAAACACGTCAGACCAGCTGCTGAACACACACACACACACACACATCAGACCAGCTGCTGAACACACACACACACACCTCAAACACGTCAGACCAGCTGCTGAACACACACACACACGTCAGACCAGCTGCTGAACACACACACACACACACACACACGTCAGACCAGATGCTGAACACACACACCTCAGACCAGCTGCTGAACACACACATACACACACACGTCAGACCAGCTGCTGAACACACACACACACACACCTCAAACACGTCAGACCAGCTGCTGAACACACACACACACACACACACACACACGTCAGACCAGCTGCTGAACACACACACACACACACCTCAAACACGTCAGACCAGCTGCTGAACACACACACACACACACACCTCAAACACGTCAGACCAGCTGCTGAACACACACACACACACACACACACAGGTCAGACCAGCTGCTGAACACACACACACACACACACACCTCAAACACGTCAGACCAGCTGCTGAACACACACACACACACACCTCAAACACGTCAGACCAGCTGCTGAACACACACACACCTCAAACACGTCAGACCAGCTGCTGAACACACACACACACACACACATCAGACCAGCTGCTGAACACACACACACACACCTCAAACACGTCAGACCAGCTGCTGAACACACACACACACGTCAGACCAGCTGCTGAACACACACACACACACACACACACCTCAGACCAGCTGCTGAACACACACATACACACACACGTCAGACCAGCTGCTGAACGAACACACACACACGTCAGACCAGCTGCTGAACACACACACACACACACACATCAGACCAGCTGCTGAACACACACACACACACACGTCAGACCAGCTGCTGAACACACACACACACGTCAGACCAGCTGCTGAACACACACACACGTCAGACCAGCTGCTGAACACACACACACACACACGTCAGACCAGCTGCTGAACACACACACACACGTCAGACCAGCTGCTGAACACACACACACACGTCAGACCAGCTGCTGAACACACACACACACGTCAGACCAGATGCTGAACACACACACACACACACACGTCAGACCAGCTGCTGAACACACACATACACACACACGTCAGACCAGCTGCTGAACGAACACACACACACGTCAGAACAGCTGCTGAACACACACACACACATCAGACCAGCTGCTGAACACACACACACACATACACACACACGTCAGACCAGCTGCTGAACGAACACACACACACGTCAGACCAGCTGCTGAACACACACACACACACACACACACACATCAGACCAGCTGCTGAACACACACACACACACACACACACACACACACACACGTCAGACCAGCTGCTGAACACACACACACACGTCAGACCAGCTGCTGAACACACACACACACACACACACACGTCAGATCAGCTGCTGAACACACACACACACACACACGTCAGACCAGCTGCTGAACACACACACACACACACACGTCAGACCAGCTGCTGAACACACACACACACACACACGTCAGACCAGCTGCTGAACACACACACACACACACGTCAGATCAGCTGCTGAACACACACACACACACACACACACGTCAGATCAGCTGCTGAACACACACACACGTCAGACCAGCTGCTGAACACACACACACACACACACACGTCAGATCAGCTGCTGAACACACACACACACACACACACGTCAGACCAGCTGCTGCTGAACACACACACACGTCAGACCAGCTGCTGAACACACACACACACACACACACACACATCAGACCAGCTGCTGAACACACACACACACACACACACACACACGTCAGACCAGCTGCTGAACACACACACACGTCAGACCAGCTGCTGAACACACACACACGTCAGATCAGCTGCTGAACACACACACACACACACGTCAGACCAGCTGCTGCTGAACACACACACACACACGTCAGACCAGCTGCTGAACACACACACACACACACACACATCAGACCAGCTGCTGAACACACACACACACACACACACACACACACACACATCAGACCAGCTGCTGAACACACACACACACACACACACACACGTCAGACCAGCTGCTGAACACACACACACACACACACACACACACACACACACACACACACGTCAGACCAGCTGCTGAACACACACACACACACACACACACACACACACACACATCAGACCAGCTGCTGAACACACACACACACGTCAGACCAGCTGCTGAACACACACACACACGTCAGACCAGCTGCTGAACACACACACACACACGTCAGATCAGCTGCTGAACACACACACACACGTCAGACCAGCTGCTGCTGAACACACACACACACGTCAGACCAGCTGCTGAACACACACACACACACACACACATCAGACCAGCTGCTGAACACACACACACACACACACACACACACACATCAGACCAGCTGCTGAACACACACACACACACACACACACACGTCAGACCAGCTGCTGAACACACACACACACACACACACACACACACACACACGTCAGACCAGCTGCTGAACACACACACACACACACACACACACACACACACACATCAGACCAGCTGCTGAACACACACACACACGTCAGACCAGCTGCTGAACACACACACACACGTCAGACCAGCTGCTGAACACACACACACACACACACACACACACACGTCAGACCAGCTGCTGAACACACACACACACACGTCAGACCAGCTGCTGAACACACACATCAGACCAGCTGCTGAACACACACACACGTCAGACCAGCTGCTGAACACACACACACACACACACGTCAGACCAGCTGCTGAACACACACACACACGTCAGACCAGCTGCTGACCACACACACACACACACACACGTCAGACCAGCTGCTGAACACACACACACACACACACGTCAGATCAGCTGCTGAACACACACACACGTCAGATCAGCTGCTGAACACACACACACACACACACACACACACACACACACATCAGACCAGCTGCTGAACACACACACACACACACACACACACACGTCAGACCAGCTGCTGAACACACACACACACACACACACACACATCAGACCAGCTGCTGAACACACACACACACACACACACGTCAGACCAGCTGCTGAACACACACACACACACGTCAGACCAGCTGCTGAACACACACACACACACACACACGTCAGATCAGCTGCTGAACACACACACACACACACACACGTCAGATCAGCTGCTGAACACACACACACACACACGTCAGACCAGCTGCTGAACACACACACACACGTCAGACCAGCTGCTGAACACACACACACGTCAGATCAGCTGCTGAACACACACACACACACGTCAGACCAGCTGCTGCTGAACACACACACACACGTCAGACCAGCTGCTGAACACACACACACACACACACACACATCAGACCAGCTGCTGAACACACACACACACGTCAGACCAGCTGCTGAACACACACACACACGTCAGACCAGCTGCTGAACACACACACACACACACACACGTCAGATCAGCTGCTGAACACACACACACACACGTCAGACCAGCTGCTGCTGAACACACACATACACGTCAGACCAGCTGCTGAACACACACACACACACACACATCAGACCAGCTGCTGAACACACACACACACACACACACACACACACATCAGACCAGCTGCTGAACACACACACACACACACACACACACACACACACACACACACACGTCAGACCAGCTGCTGAACACACACACACACACACACACACACACACACACGTCAGACCAGCTGCTGAACACACACACACACACACACACACACATCAGACCAGTTGCTGAACACACACACACACACACACACACGTCAGACCAGCTGCTGAACACACACACACACGTCAGACCAGCTGCTGAACACACACACACACACGTCAGACCAGCTGCTGAACACACACACACACACACACACACACACACACACACGTCAGACCAGCTGCTGAACACACACATCAGACCAGCTGCTGAACACACACACACACACACACACACACACGTCAGACCAGCTGCTGAACACACACACACACACACACACACACACACACACACACACACACACACACACACACACACACACATCAGACCAGCTGCTGAACACACACACACACACACACACATCAGACCAGCTGCTGAACACACACACACACACGTCAGACCAGCTGCTGAACACACACACACACACACACACACACACACATCAGACCAGCTGCTGAACACACACACACACACACACACACACACGTCAGACCAGCTGCTGAACACACACGTCAGACCAGCTGCTGAACACACACGTCAGACCAGCTGCTGAACACACACACACACACACACACACACACACGTCAGACCAGCTGCTGAACACACACACACACACACACACACACACACATCAGACCAGCTGCTGAACACACACACACACACACACGTCAGACCAGCTGCTGAACACACACACACACGTCAGACCAGCTGCTGAACACACACACACACACACACACACGCACACACACGTCAGACCAGCTGCTGAACACACACACACACACACAACAACAACATTTACAAGTTTCCAAAAGCTAAAGAATAAAAATGTGTTTTAAAAATGTCCATTGAAGGAGCCGACCTCTCATGATCCGGGAGAGCATTGCAAAGCCTAAACTGCAAAGCCTAAACCCGCCTCGACGGGTGTGTTGAGTTTATGGTCTTTTAAAGTGCATTTGTTTATGTATATCTGAGTTGCAGTCATTTACACTGCGTTTACACCGCAAAACAGATCCTCTCCTTGCCATTTTCTCGCTCTTCCAAACGGTCTTCCGTCTTGCCGTAGAGTCCTCAAACTCGGTTAGAGGAGGGGCCATGTAGATGAGCTCTTAAATCTGCATTTTGATTGGCGTGCGGCGTCAATTTAACATCTATCGGCGAGCGGCGTTATTTTAACGCATGGCGGGGTGTGACAGTAGCTTATTTAACACCCGGCGGCTTGATAAAAACAGCTTTTTAATATTGATACGGCGGTCAAAAGCACGCAAATTCTGAACCATTTGACTTACGATACTTAGCAGACAGTATAACAAATGGCTGAGGGCAGAAATATGTTAATACGGGAAATATGCTAATACGGGATAGTCCGTCAGCGGTCGTGGGCGGAGCATGAGCATTATGACATCATATTGCTCAGAAAATCCAAACGGCACAGCTTTTTGAGGATTAAAAAAAAGAAGTGAATGGATTTTTTTCATTGTATGCTGGTTGTGTCCACACACTGCAAACACACATTTATATGCAAACACCATATAAAAGTGAATTTTGCATCCGATGACCCCTTTAAGGTTTATGAATTTCCATGACTAATTCAGGTATAGAAGTTTTCTATTAGTTTTCCAAGACCATGTGAATCCTGATTCTTCAAAGAGAAAAGAGTTGTCAAGAAAGTAAATTAACAAAATAATCTAAACCAATTGAAACAAAAGATGCGTTTTATTTTTAACATTTCAGTAATCTTGAGGCTTTCAGTGTCACTGGAGTTCCAACATGATTAAAACACAGTGTGATGATGCTCATAAATATAACAATGTAAACTGTATAAACTGCTTGTTTTGTTAAACTCGATCATTCTGGATTATGTTGCGTTGCTGGAGACCTAATCTCAAAATTGTACATAGGCAACAGTAATGTGAACTAAATATAATTTAAATTTTATAATATAAAGTAACAGTAGTAAAGGAGAGTTTCCCAGAATGCCTCACCGCTGTGAGTGGGGTAGATCACGTCGAACCCGGGCAGTGGCATCACAACATCATGAATAGAGTGTTTCTCTGCCTCGTCAGCTGACAGAACATGAGCAGAGCCTAGAACACAGAGAAGAGCTCAGATACTGAACATTTTCACTCCTCACGCTCGCTCACTCCTCTCACGCTCGCTCACTCCTCTCACGCTCGCTCACTCCTCTCACGCTCACTTCTCCCTTCACGCTCGCTCACTCCTCTCACGCTCACTCACTCACTCCTCTCACGCTCGCTCACTCCTCTCACGCTCACTTCTCCCTTCACGCTCGCTCACTCCTCTCACGCTCACTCACTCACTCCTCTCACGCTCACTTCTCCCTTCACGCTCGCTCACTCCTCTCACGCTCACTTCTCCCTTCACGCTCACTCACTCCTCTCACGCTCACTTCTCCCTTCACGCTCACTCCTCTCACGCTCGCTCACTCCTCTCACGCTCACTTCTCCCTTCACGCTCGCTCACTCCTCTCACGCTCGCTCACTCCTCTCACGCTCGCTCACTCCTCTCACGCTCGCTCACTCCTCTCACGCTCGCTCACTCCTCTCACGCTCACTTCTCCCTTCACACTCACTCCTCTCACGCTCGCTCACTCCTCTCACGCTCGCTCGCTCACTCCTCTCACGCTCGCTCGCTCACTCCTCTCACGCTCGCTCACTCACTCCTCTCACGCTCGCTCACTCCTCTCACGCTCGCTCACTCCTCTCACGCTCGCTCACTCCTCTCACGCTCGCTCACTCCTCTCACGCTCGCTCACTCCTCTCACGCTCGCTCACTCCTCTCACGCTCGCTCACTCCTCTCACGCTCGCTCACTCCTCTCACGCTCGCTCACTCCTCTCACGCTCGCTCACTCCTCTCACGCTCGCTCACTCCTCTCACGCTCGCTCACTCCTCTCACGCTCACTTCTCCCTTCACACTCACTCCTCTCACGCTCGCTCACTCCTCTCACGCTCGCTCGCTCACTCCTCTCACGCTCGCTCACTCCTCTCACGCTCGCTCACTCCTCTCACGCTCACTTCTCCCTTCACGCTCACTTCTCCCTTCACGCTCACTCCTCTCACGCTCGCTCACTCCTCTCACGCTCGCTCACTCCTCTCACGCTCACTTCTCCCTTCACGCTCACTTCTCCCTTCACGCTCACTCCTCTCACGCTCGCTCACTCCTCTCACGCTCGCTCACTCCTCTCACGCTCACTTCTCCCTTCACGCTCACTCCTCCCCTCACGCTCACTCCTCCCCTCACGCTCACTCCTCCCCTCACGCTCACTCCTCCCCTCACGCTCACTCCTCCCCTCACGCTCACTCCTCCCCCTCACGCCTCTCACGCTCACTTCTCCCTTCACGCTCACTTCTCCCTTCACGCTCACTCCTCTCACGCTCGCTCACTCCTCTCACGCTCACTCCTCCCCTCACGCTCACTCCTCCCCCCTCCCCTCACGCTCACTCCTCCCCCTCACGCTCACTCCTCCCCTCACGCTCACTCCTCCCCTCACGCTCACTCCTCCCCTCACGCTCACTCCTCCCCCTCACGCTCACTCCTCCCCCTCACGCTCACTCCTCCCCCTCACGCTCACTCCTCCCCCTCACGCTCACTCCTCCCCCTCACGCTCACTCCTCCCCTCACGCTCACTCCTCCCCTCACGCTCACTCCTCCCCCTCACGCTCACTCCTCCCCCTCACGCTCACTCCTCCCCCTCACGCTCACTCCTCCCCCTCACGCTCACTCCTCCCCTCACGCTCACTCCTCCCCCTCACGCTCACTCCTCCCCCTCACGCTCACTCCTCCCCTCACGCTCACTCCTCCCCTCACGCTCACTCCTCCCCCTCACGCTCACTCCTCCCCCTCACGCTCACTCCTCCCCCTCACGCTCACTCCTCCCCCTCACGCTCACTCCTCCCCCTCACGCTCACTCCTCCCCCTCACGCTCACTCCTCCCCCTCACGCTCACTCCTCCCCCTCACGCTCACTCCTCCCCCTCACGCTCACTCCTCCCCTCACGCTCACCCCTCACGCTCACTCCTCCCCTCACGCTCACTCCTCCCCTCACGCTCACTCACTCCTCTCACGCTCACTCCTCCCCTCACACACAAACCTCCCCTCACGCTCACTCCTCCCCCTCACGCTCACTCCTCCCCCTCACGCTCACTCCTCCCCCTCACGCTCACTCCTCCCCTCACGCTCACTCCTCCCCCTCACGCTCACTCCTCCCCTCACGCTCACCCCTCACGCTCACTCCTCCCCTCACGCTCACTCCTCCCCCTCACGCTCACTCCTCCCCCTCACGCTCACTCCTCCCCCTCACGCTCACTCCTCCCCCCTCCCCTCACGCTCACTCCTCCCCCTCACGCTCACTCCTCCCCTCACGCTCACTCCTCCCCTCACGCTCACTCCTCCCCTCACGCTCACTCCTCCCCCTCACGCTCACTCCTCCCCTCACGCTCACTCCTCCCCTCACGCTCACTCCTCCCCCTCACGCTCACTCCTCCCCCTCACGCTCACTCCTCCCCCTCACGCTCACTCCTCCCCCTCACGCTCACTCCTCCCCCTCACGCTCACTCCTCCCCCTCACGCTCACTCCTCCCCTCACGCTCACTCCTCCCCTCACGCTCACTCCTCCCCCTCACGCTCACTCCTCCCCCTCACGCTCACTCCTCCCCCTTCACGCTCACTCCTCCCCCTCACGCTCACTCCTCCCCCTCACGCTCACTCCTCCCCTCACGCTCACTCCTCCCCCTCACTCCTCCCCCTCACGCTCACTCCTCCCCTCACGCTCACTCCTCCCCCTCACGCTCACTCCTCCCCCTCACGCTCACTCCTCCCCCTCACGCTCACTCCTCCCCCTCACGCTCACTCCTCCCCCTCACGCTCACTCCTCCCCCTCACGCTCACTCCTCCCCCTCACGCTCACTCCTCCCCCTCACGCTCACTCCTCCCCCTCACGCTCACTCCTCCCCCTCACGCTCACTCCTCCCCTCACGCTCACCCCTCACGCTCACTCCTCCCCTCACGCTCACTCCTCCCCTCACGCTCACTCACTCCTCTCACGCTCACTCCTCCCCTCACACACAAACCTCCCCTCACACTCACTCCTCCCCCTCATGCTCACTCCTCCCCCTCACGCTCACTCCTCCCCCTCACGCTCACTCCTCCCCTCACGCTCACTCCTCCCCTCACGCACAAACCTCCTCTGAGGATCAGATCTCGCTCCACAACTCTCACCTCATAGGCCTCCACTCTCACACACTCTCACACACTCTCACACACTCTCACACACTCTCACACACTCTCACACACTCTCACACACTCTCACACACTCTCACACACTCTCACACACTCTCACACACTCTCACACACTCTCACACACTCTCACACACTCTCACACACTCTCACACACTCACACACTCTCACACACTCTCACACACTCTCACACCTCCTCTGAGGATCAGATCTCCCTCCACAGCTGTCAGCCCATAGGCCTCCACACGTCTGCTGACCATAGAGTTCCACACGTAACTCTGGTAACTGTGGATGTACATCAGCCTGTTGTTGCGAGGGATCTGAGCAGAAAAAGCACAGTTATAAACTACTGAACTCCAGCAGCAGCATCAGGATCTTCATGATGTGGTAAAGTGAGGTCAGTGTCCAGTTGTGTAGTGTGAGGTCAGTTGTGTAGTGTAAGTGTAAGGTCAGTTGTGTAGTGTGAGGTCAGTTGTGTAGTGTAAGGTCAGTTGTGTAGAGTAAGGTCAGTTGTGTAGAGTAAGGTCAGTTGTGTAGTGTAAGGTCAGTTGTGTAGTGTAAGGTCAGTTATGTAGTGTGAGGTCAGTTGTGTAGTGTAAGGTCAGTTGTGTAGTGTAAGGTCAGTTGTGTAGTGTAAGGTCAGTTGTGTAGTGTGAGGTCAGTTGTGTAGTGTAAGGTCAGTTGTGTAGAGTAAGGTCAGTTGTGTAGTGTAAGGTCAGTTGTGTAGTGTAAGGTCAGTTGTGTAGTGTAAGGTCAGTTGTGTAGTGTAAGGTCAGTTGTGTAGTGTAAGGTCAGTTATGTAGTGTGAGTGTAAGGTCAGTTGTGAAGTGTGAGGTCGGTTGTGAAGTGTAAGGTCAGTTGTGTAGAGTAAGGTCAGTTGTGTAGTGTAAGGTCAGTTATGTAGTGTGAGTGTAAGGTCAGTTGTGAAGTGTGAGGTCGGTTGTGTAGTGTGAGTGTGTTCTCTCACCAGTCCGAAGGCTGTGACGATGTTGTTCTTGCCGTATTTGACGAGGCCTCGCAGGAACTGGCCCTCGACGCAGCGCTTGACCGGCAGCTTCTTCAGGGCCGCCTCTGGGTCGTGTGTGAGAGCCCACTCCTGCCGACACTTCACCAGATAACCCTTCTCCGCTGCACAGAGAGAGAGAGAGAGAGAGAGAGAGAGAGAGAGAGAGAGAGAGAGAGAGAGAGAGAGAGAGAGAGAGAGAGTGAGAGTGTGTGTGAGAGAGAGACTCTGACCTCCAGGACCAGGCTTCAGGATTAGATCCAGTGTGTGTGTGTGTGAGTGTGAGAGAGAGAGAGAGACTCTGACCTCCAGGTTGTTGTTTTGATGCTTATATGGACTTGTGTTTTTCTGAGAAAATGTTAAAATACCAATCATTAACAAATGCTTTAGCAGTGTGTGGTTACAGCACAAAACTGATCATCCTAATCTTTGGTAGTTTAGGACATGTGCACAGATTATGCGTCAGGGGTTTGCAAATTGCTGGACTGAGTAAAAAGATCTCTAAGCAAACAGCCAAATACTGTTCTGTGTCAGCAATCACAGGCAGTCTGCATGTTTGGAGAAGGAGATGTCACCTCTATCCATAGTCTATTTATTTATATATTCATGTGGTTGTGACTATTGTCGATGTGTGTATTGTCAGGTGAAACATAACAGGCTCTTTGTGAATATTTGAATGCTGTGTTGTTTTAATCAGTATTGGTCATTCCAAATAAAATAATCAAATGTGAGAGAGAGAGAGATACTCTGACCTCCAGGACGAGGCTTCAGGATCAGGTCCAGTGTGTGTGTGTGTGTGTGTGTGTGTGTGTGTGTGTGGGAGAGAGACTCTGACCTCCAGGACCAGATCCAGTGTGTGTGTGTGTGTGTGTGAGTGAGAGAGAGAGACTCTGAACTCCAGGAAAAGGCTTCAGGATTAGATCCAGAGTGAGTGTGTGTGTGTGTGTGTGTGTGTGTGTGAGAGAGACTCTGACCTCCAGGACGAGGCTTCAGAATCAGATCCAGTGTGTGTGTGTGTGTTGTGACGATGTCATCAGGAAATAAATAAATAAATTGTAATTTAATTGTTCTACATTTATTTCCTCATTATTCATCTGTACATAACATTGAGCTCATTATTTACAAAAATCAAAACATCTCCATCATTTATGAAACTACAGTCATCGTACCTTTATGTAACTACAGTCATTGTAACCTGTGTGTCGAGTCAAGATGGCGCTGTCTTTAGTCCAGCCCCTAGTTATCTGGATGACGTGCATCGCTTATAAAAACATGGCGCCGGCTATCGAGATGCAGTGAGTACCTCGCGGAGCTCCTCAGAAGACTCCCGCGGCTGTTATTTGTTTTATCCGCGGTAAGAGTGTGTATCGTCGGCGTGCGTGCTAAGCAGATCGCGTTATGGATTACTAACAGGAAATTATCCTCATCGTTGTGTGACCTGCTGATTGTCGTTGAGATACTGCAGAGGAAACCGAACGAGTGAGTAGCCTAATTCCAAAACTTGAACTGGATTGACGGATGAGGAGCCTAAAGCCTATATCTTCACGTCTGAGAAGCCAGGGAAAATGTGGACCAGAGTCTTAAGGGGAAAAGGAGTCGTGAGTACAATTTAGCCAGGCTGACATGACATGACTTAACTTTGACTGTTTTTGAGTGGGGAATTTTATTCTTTTTTCCTCCTACTGACTATGTGAACTATTTTTGCTGTGGATTACTGTGGGGATTACTGATGGACAATTTATGAACTGTTTTTTGTTTTTTCACTTTCACTGCTGTGCTGAATATACATCTTTGAACGCAGTTCTATGTGTCCTGTCGTATTGAATGGTTGGTGGTCTATTTAAGAGTGATTATTATGGGTATTATTGTATTGAGTATGGGTGTAAAATCTTTATCTCATTAAGTGACGGGTTTTGTGACAGAACAAGACAGACTGCACAAGATCTTTGTACGTTTCCCTAAAGTGAACTTTAATTAATGACAGAAATCCTGTCTGGCACCCCAGCATATAAAAACCCCAAACAAAGAGTGTGGGAAAACGTTACATAAAAGTGGCACCCCAGATGGGACCCAAATATTAAAAACTTGTGAGAAAGAAAATACACTCAAACTACCCTTCATCATGCAAACAACCAATCCTACAAACAAAATGGCTGCCTCTCCGAGCAGGTCTTGCCATGAAATGGAGGGAGATCAAAACCAAACTCCACCCAAGGCCTTTAAAGATGATCTTATGGATGTTATGGCTTTAGATCAAGATGGAATTCAACCCTCTCTTCCTAGCAGTACCTTGGAAGGTTTTCAGGCCCTTTCATCTCAACATACTCTGCTGGATATGGACTTAACTGGAAGTTTTGCTCTCAGACCCCCAATATCACCTTCATCTCAGCCCTCATTAGGATTAACTGGATTCATGGACACACTGACACTTCAGCAATTGAGTGGAATGACCAGAACACAATACCAGAGTCTAAAAGACACCTTGTTCACTGAAGTTGGAGAGCTCAAAAATTCCATAGATACTTTCACTTTGAATGTGGATCCTGCATCTGTGAAACAAACAACTGAAATAAAGTAATCAGTTTGAGCATTTCAGGAAAGAGTTTAATAACATGCTGCATTGGCGACTAAAGAATCATCATGCAGAGGTATTGAAGGATTTCAATACAGTCATGGAACCAATGGCTAATACTCTGTATCTTATACAAAAGACCACTGATCAATATACTCAACAAATGAACATCTTTCTAGCTCAGAGAAGTTCCGATGGGGATTTACAGAATGAACTCCACCAGTGCACGCAACATTTTCAGCAATTGGCTACAGACATTGAAGCTCTCAAGTCATCACAGCAGAGTTCAGTGAAAGCAACTGTTTCTGTACCAACAATTCCGTCACCATCTGCTTCTACTATGGTGGAAATGCCGGGGGTGAATACCAGATTACAGCGACTCCATTCAACATTTCAAGGTGGACTGGGTGACTCTGATCTTAATCCCCCAAGTGAAATGGTTACCACTGCTGAAGGTAGAGGACGTTTTTTGGGGAAACAGCCTGTGAAAATCCAGTTCCCATGCTTTGGTCGACTAGAAGACTGTGATGATCCTTTGATCTTCTTGGAGAAATGTTATGATTTCATGGCTCTCCACCCTCTTTCTGATGAAGAATTAATAGCAACACTCCGGAATGTGCTCCATGGAACAGCTAGAGACTGGTGGGATGTTGCTCGACTTGAGACAAACACTTGGCAGGAGTTTGAATCTAAGTTTCTTTCTGCGTTCTTGTCAGAAGACTATGAGGATGAGTTGGCAGAGAGAGTAAGAACACGTGTACAGCAGGAGGGTGAGAGCATAAGAGATTTTGCTTATATGTACCGAGCTCTCTGCAAACGCTGGAAGCCACAAATTGAAGAGGATGACGTTATTAAGCTGATCTTGAAGAACATCAATCCTCAGATGGCAAGTCAACTTCGAAGTAATGGAGTTACCTCTGTTGATGGTTTAGTCCGTCTTGGACAACAGCTAGAAAAAGACAAGGAAAACCAGCTACAATATGAACAAGGGAAAAAACCTTGGAAACTCAAGAGTATCCAGCCCTGCTCCGGTTCAGTTGAATAACCCAGTAATCGCTTCATTACCACAGGACTCTGCTAAATCTCCCTTCTGTTGGCGGTGTAAGGGCCCTCACGCTCCGAATTCTTGTCCTCAGGGCGGTCCTGCGAAGAACAAAAACTATAAAGGTCAGCAAAGTTCACATCCTGTTAAAGGTAACCATGATAATCATCCTACTGTTAGCACTGTCACTCATATGGAGTCTGTATACTCACCTACTCATCCATTTTCCGCATCTCTACCACAGCAGTTGATTGTTCCTGTAAATATTGACTCTTGGCAAGGTCAAGCTTTGGTTGACACAGGATATTCATATACACTGTTAAATGAAAAGCTGTGGCTAACCCTGGGTTATCACACTCAACAGCTCAGACCCTGGACTGAGGGTCCCATTTATCTGGCTGATGGAGGAGCTCGGCAACCATTAGGATGGGGTGAAGTACAAATTACAGTGCAAACATTAACAGTCACCTTACCAGTGGTTGTCCTTGCCCCACAGATGCTTGCCTTTCCTGTTGTGTTGGGATTAGATTATCTTTTCTTCAGTGGACTGCAAATGGACATCCGGAACAATGTCTATTGGTTTCATCCTGATCAAAAATATTATTTTCTGAAAAATGATGATCACTTCCATGACTGGCATAATTCTTCTCCTCTTGCTCTTTTTTCTGCTCTTCCCCCTGGTACAACAGAGGAAGAACCAAACCATCTGCATGTAGCATGCCAAAACACCTGCCTAGATGAAAGGGGAAAGGAACGTTTTCTGACACAACTCAACCAGAATTCTGATGTCTGCACAGATGTTTTGGGTAAAACAAGTGTTTTGACACACAGAGTTTATGTTACCCAAGATGTTCCTATAAGACAAAAGCCTTATCGTGTTTCTCCTACGAAGCAGAAGGTTATCAAACAGCTCATTGATGAGATGTTAGCTGCTGATGTCATCGAGCCTTCCTCCTCAGCATGGTCTTCTCCCGTGGTATTGATTCCTAAGAAAACAGGAGGATATCGTTTCTGTGTAGACTACCGAAAGGTAAATTCAGTCTCTCAATCAGATGCCTATCCGCTTCCTACCATTCAAGAAATCCTTGAGTCCTTGAGTGGTGCTGTCGTTTTTTCCACCCAAACAGTGGATATTGGCAGGTTCGTATGGAAGAGGAAAGTCAAGATAAAACTGCCTTCATTTGCAGTCAGGGGCTATTTAATTTCAAGGTCATGGCTTTTGGCCTTAAAAATGCACCAGCGACCTTCCAGCGGTTGATGGAGAGAGTCCTGGGAGAGCTACAGCGTAAGAACTGTTTCGTCTATTTAGACGATATAATTATCTACTCTTATCAATGGAACAGCACTTCCAGGACATCCAGGCTGTTTTGGATAAACTCAAAGACGCAAACCTGACTGTTAATATGAAGAAAACACATTTCTTCCGTACTTCTCTGAAGTTTCTTGGCCACATTGTGACTGCTACAGGAATTAAGGCCGATCCAGAAAAGACCAGAGCAGTCCAAGAATTTCCTGTGCCAAAGAACATGAAGGAAGTCCAGAGATTTTTGGGCATGGCCGGTTGGTATCATCGGTTTGTACCGAACTTTTCTCAAGTGGCCGAACCCCTGAATGCCTTAAAAAGAAAAGGTGCCAAATTCCTTTGGACTTCGCAATGTCAATTTTCTTTTCAAGCTCTAAAACAGCTCCTTGTGTCTCCACCTGTGTTGGGACATCCTAATCTGAATCTGCCATTTGTCATCTACACTGATGCAAGTGAGGTCGGCTTGGGAGCTGTCCTTCTGCAGCAAACAGGACTGGGCACGGAGGAAGTCCTGGCATTTGCCAGTCGTACCTTAAATCCGGCAGAAAGAAATTACACGACCACCGAGCAAGAATGTTTGGCAGTCGTGTGGGCCCTTGAAAAATGGAGGTACTACTTGGAAGGAAAATTCTTCACGGTCGTCACTGATCATTCTTCCTTGATGTGGGTGTTCAAAACACAGAAACCTAACACTCGTCTAATTCGGTGGGCTCTTCGACTCCAGGAATTCAACTTCACAGTGGAGTACAGGAAGGGGAAGTATAATACGGTTCCAGATGCTTTGTCCCGAGCCCCTGTGGACATTAATGAACCGGGCCTTTTGAGTTGTTCCACTGCTCTATCTTTGAGATCAAAGGTGAAATCCGAGGAAACAGAAGATCTGCCAATCACCGATCATGACATCTGGAAAGTACAGCAGACGGATTCAGATATTCACCATCTGTACGAACAAATAGTAGAATCAGGAGAAATCATTGTCAATTCCTCTACAAAATTTTCCATATTAGAGGATAAAGTCTACAGAGTCGTCCAGTTTCCACACAAAATTGTGTATCAAGTTTACATACCAAAAACTCTCCGATATCAACTACTCCAGTCTCTTCATGAAGACCCTCTTGCTGGTCATCTTGGCAGATTCAAAACATTCAAAAGATTGCAAGCTTTGGTATACTGGCCTAACTTAAACCAAGATGTCAAAGAGTTTGTACAAAACTGTCCCATTTGTCAGCGTTACAAGCCTGAATGTCGTCGACTTCCCGGCACCTTACAACAAACTATTGTACAACGTCCATGGGAAATGCTGGGAGTGGATCTGATGGGTCCATTCCCCAGGAGCTCATCTGGGAATGTTTATCTGATCGTTTTTGTGGATTATTATTCTCGTTGGGTTGAGCTTTTTAGTCTGCGCAAAGACTGTCTCACAAATACTGGTCAGAGAAATTCTTACCCGATGGGGAGTTCCAGATTACATCTTGTCTGATCGAGGATCACAGTTTGTCTCCTCTGTGTTCCAGGAGCTCTGTAAAAATTGGAACATCGGACACAAAATGACAACTGCATACCATCCCCAGACCAATCTCACTGAAAGGGTGAATCGTACACTAAAAACAATGGTGGCCTCCTACGTCAGTGACAATCATAAACATTGGGACAAGCTCCTACCAGAGTTCAGGTTTGCTCTTAATTCTGCTGTCCATGAGTCCACAGGAGTAACCCCAGCAGAGTTGAATCTCAATCGCTCACTCAGAGGGCCCATGGATGTGCTCTTACAACCACGAAATGTGTCTCCTGATGATTCTTGCTATGGAAAATTGACAGAATTAAATCTAATGAAGGAGTACGTTGAGAAGAAACTACTTTCCGCTCGTCAACGTCAAAAGCGTAACTATGACAAAAATCGTAGAGAAGTGGTGTTTGAGGAGAAGGACAGAGTATGGATGCGCACTCACCCTTATTCCAAGGCAGTTAAGTTTTTTTCAGCAAAAATTGCTCCAAAATGGCAAGGGCCCTACAGGATAGTTCGGAAATTAGGACCTCTGAACTATGAAATTGTCCTGGAGGACACTGGAGAAGACTTAAGAGTGGTACACGTCTCCAGGCTTAAACCCTGCTTTCCCTCTGCACAAAAACTTGAAGCACAACATCGTCCATTACTAGAAATCTTTAAGGAGGACAGTGATGAGGAGGAGTTTCTTGGATTTACTGAGAAAGACATTTGAAGACATCTGATTTGACGCCTTACCCTAATGGCCGGCTTTCCTTAAGGAGGGGGGAGTGTGACGATGTCATCAGGAAATAAATAAATAAATTGTAATTTAATTGTTCTACATTTATTTCCTCATTATTCATCTGTACATAACATTGAGCTCATTATTTACAAAAATCAAAACATCTCCATCATTTATGAAACTACAGTCATCGTACCTTTATGTAACTACAGTCATTGTAACCTGTGTGTCGAGTCAAGATGGCGCTGTCTTTAGTCCAGCCCCTAGTTATCTGGATGACGTGCATCGCTTATAAAAACATGGCGCCGGCTATCGAGATGCAGTGAGTACCTCGCGGAGCTCCTCAGAAGACTCCCGCGGCTGTTATTTGTTTTATCCGCGGTAAGAGTGTGTATCGTCGGCGTGCGTGCTAAGCAGATCGCGTTATGGATTACTAACAGGAAATTATCCTCATCGTTGTGTGACCTGCTGATTGTCGTTGAGATACTGCAGAGGAAACCGAACGAGTGAGTAGCCTAATTCCAAAACATGAACTGGATTGACGGATGAGGAGCCTAGAGCCTATATCTTCACGTCTGAGAAGCCAGGGAAAATGTGGACCAGACTCTTAAGGGGAAAAGGAGTCGTGAGTACAATTTAGCCAGGCTGACATGACATGACTTAAAGCTGCCGTCGGCAACATTTTTTTGATCATATTCAGTGAAATCGACACTATAATCTGACAGAACAACATAAATAAAGTGGTTTTAGAAAAAAACCCGAGCTTCTAACTCCACCTGGAGCGTGTTATTTGTTTTGCAAAAATCCACAGCTCCCGGTTCATCATGTCCAATCAGCGTAGGGGGGTGTGAGATCTGACTGTCAATCACAGATCGGGCACACGCCACCCCTCGCGCACGTTACAATCACATGCACACGCCTGAAGTTCGTGCAGTAACGAGTGATGGCGGAAAATCAAGTAAGCTCATTTAGAGTATAAATGACGTTAGCAATTGCAATCTATCGGTAGATTAGCCAGGACAGCATACCTCCAAATACTCCATGGCGTTGATGGATGCTGATGAGACGGGCGTGTTCACTGAAAATCTGGTGCACACGCACTGACGAGCATGAACTCGGTCACGGTGGGAGGGTATCCGTTGATAGTGGGGGAGGGGCATGAGAGTTGTAAACATTCAAAATTTTCCTAAATCCACTCAATCTGCCAGACTTGCCGACTGGAGCTTTAACTTTGACTGTTTTTGAGTGGGGAATTTTATTCTTTTTTCCTCCTACTGACTATGTGAACTATTTTTGCTGTGGATTACTGTGGGGATTACTGATGGACAATTTATGAACTGTTTTTTGTTTTTTCACTTTCACTGCTGTGCTGAATATACATCTTTGAACGCAGTTCTATGTGTCCTGTCGTATTGAATGGTTGGTGGTCTATTTAAGAGTGATTATTATGGGTATTATTGTATTGAGTATGGGTGTAAAATCTTTATCTCATTAAGTGACGGGTTTTGTGACAGAACAAGACAGACTGCACAAGATCTTTGTACGTTTCCCTAAAGTGAACTTTAATTAATGACAGAAATCCTGTCTGGCACCCCAGCATATAAAAACCCCAAACAAAGAGTGTGGGAAAACGTTACAGTGTGTGTGTGTGAGAGAGACTCTGATCTCCAGGACGAGGCTTCAGAATCAGATCCAGTGTGTGTGTGTGTGTGTGTGTGTGTGTGTGTGAGTGTGTGTGTGTGTGTGTGTGAGAGAGACTCTGATCTCCAGGACGAGGCTTCAGAATCAGATCCAGTGTGTGTGTGTGTGTGTGTGTGTGTGTGTGTGTGAGAGAGAGACTCTGACCTCCAGGACGAGGCTACAGAATCAGATCCTGTGTGTGTGTGTGTGTGTGTGTGTGTGTGTGAGTGTGTGAGTGAGAGAGAGAGAGAGAGAGAGAGAGAGAGACTCTGACCTCCAGGACGAGGCTTCAGGATCAGATCCATCACTTCCTTCCAGTTGTTCTGCAGTATAGCCCTATAAACCAGAGCCAACAGTGAGATTCAGTGTGTGTGAGATTCAGTGTGTGTGAGAGAGTGTGTGTGTGTGTGAGTGTGTGAGAGTGAGAGTGTGTGCGTGTGTGTTCACCTGCCGACCCGGTGTGTGGGAACAGCTGTGGTCCCGAAGCGCTGCATGCCGTAGTAATTAATGAAGCCGGTTTCTCTGAGTGATGTCATCGCCTGCTCGACCTGCTCCAGAGAGCCGGAGATATTCCTGTGGAGGAGAGAGAGTTCACACACTCGCACTTCACACACTCTCGCCTCGCACACTCCCACTCTCTCTCGCCTCGCACACTCTTGCCTCGCACACTCTCGCCTCGCACACTCACACCTCACACACTCACACTCTCTCTCGCCTCGCACACTCTTCCCTCGCACACTCACACTCTCTCTCGCCTCGCACACTCTTCCCTCGCACACTCACATCTCTCTCGCCTCGCACACTCGCACTTCACACTCTCGCCTCGCACACTCCCACCTCACACACTCACACTCTCTCTCGCCTCGCACACTCTTCCCTCGCACACTCTCGCCTTGCACACTCACACTCTCTCTCGCCTCGCACACTCGCACTTCACACTCTCGCCTCGCACACTCCCACCTCACACACTCACACTCTCTCTCGCCTCGCACACTCTTCCCTCGCACACTCTCGCCTTGCACACTCCCACCTCACACTCTCTCTCGCCTCGCACACTCTTGCCTCGCACACTCACACTCTCTCTCGCCTCGCACACTCGCACTTCACACTCTCGCCTCGCACACTCCCACCTCACACACTCACACTCTCTCTCGCCTCGCACACTCTTCCCTCGCACACTCTCGCCTTGCACACTCCCACCTCACACTCTCTCTCGCCTCGCACACTCTTGCCTCGCACACTCACACTCTCTCTCGCCTCGCACACTCGCACTTCACACACTCTCGCCTCGCACACTCGCACTTCACACACTCACCTCGCACACTCCCACACTCTCTCTCGCCTCGCACACTCGCACTTCACAGACTCTCGCCTCGCACACTCCCACCTCACACACTCACACGCTCTCTCGCCTCGCACACTCTCGCCTTGCACACTCACACTCTCTCTCGCCTCGCACACTCGCACTTCACACACTCTCGCCTCGCACACTCCCACCTCACACACTCACACGCTCTCTCGCCTCGCACACTCTCGCCTTGCACACTCACACTCTCTCTCGCCTCGCACACTCACCTCGCACACTCCCACCTCACACACTCACACTCTCTCTCGCCTCGCACACTCTCGCCTCGCACACTCGCACTTCGCACTTCACACTCACACTCTCTCTCGCCTCGCACACTCGCACTTCACAGACTCTAGCCTCGCACACTCCCACCTCACACACTCACACTCTCTCTCGCCTCCCACACTCTCGCCTCGCACACTCCCACCTCACACACTCACACTCTCTCTCGCCTCGCACACTCGCACTTCACACACTCACACTCTCTCTCGCCTCGCACACTCGCACTTCACACACTCACACTCTCTCTCGCCTCGCACACTCTCGCCTCACACACTCACACACTCTCTCGCCTCGCACACTCCCACTCTCTATCGCCTCGCACACTCCCACTCTCTATCGCCTCGCACACTCGCACTTCACACACTCACACTCTCTCTCGCCTCGCACACTCCCACCTCACACACTCACACACTCTCTCGCCTCGCACACTCCCACTCTCTATCGCCTCGCACACTCCCACTCTCTATCGCCTCGCACACTCGCACTTCACACACTCACACTCTCTCTCGCCTCGCACACTCTCGCCTCGCACACTCGCACTTCACACACTCACCTCGCACACTCCCACCTCACACTCTCTCTCGCCTCGCACTTCACAGACTCTCGCCTCGCACACTCCCACCTCACACACTCACACTCTCTCTCGCCTCGCACACTCTCGCCTCGCACACTCGCACTTCACACACTCACCTCGCACACTCCCACCTCACACACTCACACTCTCTCTCGCCTCGCACACTCCCACTCTCTATCGCCTCGCACACTCGCACTTCACACACTCACACTCTCTCTCGCCTCGCACACTCTCGCCTCGCACACTCCCACCTCACACACTCACACTCTCTCTCGCCTCGCACACTCCCACTCTCTCTCGCCTCGCACACTCTCGCCTCGCACACTCGCACTTCACACACTCACCTCGCACACTCCCACCTTGCACACTCACACTCTCTCTCGCCTCGCACACTCGCACTTCACAGACTCTCGCCTCGCACACTCCCACCTCACACACTCACACTCTCTCTCGCCTCGCACACTCTCGCCTCGCACACTCGCACTTCACACACTCACCTCGCACACTCCCACCTCACACACTCACACTCTCTCGCCTCGCACACTCGCACTTCACACACTCACCTCGCACACTCCCACCTCACACACTCACACTCTCTCTCGCCTCGCACACTCACCTCACACACTCACACTCTCTCGCCTCGCACACTCGCACTTCACAGACTCTAGCCTCGCACACTCCCACCTCACACACTCACACTCTCTCTCGCCTCGCACACTCTCGCCTCGCACACTCCCACCTCACACACTCACACTCTCTCTCGCCTCGCACACTCGCACTTCACACACTCACACTCTCTCTCGCCTCGCACACTCGCACTTCACACACTCACCTCGCACTTCGCACACTCGCACTTCACAGAGTCTCTCTCGCCTCGCACACTCTCGCCTCGCACGCTCACTCCCGCCTCGCACGCTCACTCCCGCCTCGCGCGCACACTCCCGCCTCGCACGCTCACTCCCGCCTCGCACGCTCACTCCCGCCTCGCACGCTCACTCTCTCTCGCCTCGCACACTCGCACTTCACACACTCACCTCGCACTTCGCACACTCACACTCTCTCTCGCCTCGCACACTCACTCTCTCTCGCCTCGCACACTCACTCACTCCCGCCTCGCACGCTCACTCTCTCTCGCCTCGCACACTCGCACTTCACACACTCACCTCGCACTTCACACACTCACACTCTCTCTCGCCTCGCACACTCGCACTTCACACACTCACCTCGCACTTCGCACACTCGCACTTCACAGAGTCTCTCTCGCCTCGCACACTCTCGCCTCGCACGCTCACTCCCGCCTCGCACGCTCACTCCCGCCTCGCGCGCACACTCCCGCCTCGCACGCTCACTCCCGCCTCGCACGCTCACTCCCGCCTCGCACGCTCACTCTCTCTCGCCTCGCACACTCGCACTTCACACACTCACCTCGCACTTCGCACACTCGCACTTCACAGAGTCTCTCTCGCCTCGCACACTCTCGCCTCGCACGCTCACTCCCGCCTCGCACGCTCACTCCCGCCTGGCACGCTCACTCCCGCCTCGCACGCTCACTCCCGCCTCGCGCGCACACTCCCGCCTCGCACGCACACTCCCGCCTCGCACACTCCCGCCTCGCACACTCGTACCTTGCACACTCTCACCTCATACTCTCGACATACTCTCGAAACGGATCTGTCGTTGAGCAAAGACGAGCACTGAACACTATTGAGATTGGCCTGTTTTTTATTGCCGGAGTCTCTGAAGCTTGAGTAAAGGCTCCGCCCTCTTCTCAAAAGAGACGGAGCAGCGGCTCATTTGAATTTAAAGGGACACACACAAAAACTGCATGTTTTTGCTCACACCCAAAAAGGAACAAATTTGACAAGCTGTAATAAATGATCTGGTATTTTGAGCTGAAATTTCACAGACACATTCTGGGGACACCATAGATATTACATCTTGTAAAAAGTGGCATAATGTGTCACCTTTAAATGAAAACAAGCCAGTCATGTCAGGCTGATTAAAAGAGCCAAGCTTGACGTATCGTTACTTATGCCAATGAAATAAGGTTATGATAGCACTACTGTACAGCGAATTTTGCTGAAAGGTGAGACGTTCGCATCCCTGCATACATTGCGCCGATTCTCACCTGAGCACCACCGTGAAGTGGTTTCCCTGCAGCTCTCCCAGTTTTAATGGATGTTTCTTGTAGCTGAAGTTTCCCAGCTTCAGGTTCATGAGGCATTTGTTGAGGTGAGATAATCTCTCAGCGCTGATTCTGAGGGGACACAGAAGAGCAGAATACAGGAGTGTGTCCTGAGCGTTTGCCGGATCTGGAGCTCAGCTTCACTCACTTCAGCACGGCGATCTCCTGCACTGTGATGGCCCTCTTGTCTTTGGTGCCCATGTAGGAGAACATGTTGGGCCTAACCCTGAAACACAGAGACAGGAGTGTGTGTGAGGTGACGTGATGCCAGCGTTCACCAGCCGCAGACTCGTCTCACACACACCTGAGGAACTTGGAGAGGAGGTTGATGGCCTCCATGGTATCCTTGTTCTCCTTATAGAGAACGAAATGGCAGAAACTGCCGCGGTTCTTCGGCCACGAATGCTTTCGAGGGGCTTCAGTGGGAGACAGAAAAGAAGAGAGGATAGACACTAAATCAAAAACTAATGCAGCACAGACTAAACAACATAACAGAGCTTTTATTAATCTCTTTATTTAAGTTAGAGGAAAACACACATGGTCAAAGCCAGCAGTGCAACAGCTGTGTCAGAGTATTGAGGAATATAATCTACTGTACGAGCTACTAAGCATCTACACCTACAGAACATTATATTTATAAACCCTCTCAATATTTCTATAGGTTTATTATAACTGAGCTTTTTACTTAGCACAGCATCTCTGTCAAATACACAGTATAATCCACTGGAGTTCAATATAATTCAACCACTAATGTGGACTTACATCTTTATAACAGGCATCTTACAAAGTCGCTCTAATGGAATAAAATATCGGAAAAAAGGCTACACTACGTTGGCTTCTGTTTCTGCAAGCCACAAGTATATATTAAACCCATCCTTCCTGTCTGAGCACAAACACCAAACATGATTAATATATTAATATCAATATTCATGCAGTGAAGATAAATCATGCTGAACAACATCAGTGATAATACTGACTACTACCTGTGATAATATCTCCAATAAACCAATTATATAATTAGTCTTGTTAAATCTTCTCCTTTGTTTAGAAACACTTGAACGCTCGGTCTGGTTTCACGGTCGATATGATGATCAAACCCGAGCGCCGACTCCAGTGTTACTGTGCGTTCACACCGGACGCGAATAGCGCGTCAAATTCGCGTCTACTGCGTCTAGTTTGACGCTTGACCATTCGCGCATCAAGAGTGAAACTGATGCGCGTAAAAACAAAAGTTTGAAGCGAAATTTACGCGCGTCGGATTCGAAACCCGTTGGCGGCCATCTTTTTTATTTTGATCGAGCATTCATCGGGAGAGTCACCGCTCTGAATTTGCTCTGGAGAGCAGAACAGCGGCGTAGGGATCATCGTCGCCGTATTTGTGTCCACCAGACGCTTCGGAGGCGAACCCAGTTTGCCGAGTTTTACCATTTGCTCGCTCCAGGATGACGGCCGCTTTCAGCGGTATTTCCGCCTGTCCCGCGCCCAGTTTGATGACCTGTTGTCGGTTGACCTGATGAACTGCTGAGCTGAAACTACACACACATGATCTGGAGCTGAAACAACACACGTTCTGGAGCTGAAACAACACACACGTTCTGGAGCTGAAACTACACACACATGTTCTGGAGCTGAAACAACACACACGTTCTGGAGCTGAAACTACACACACGTGATCTGGAGCTGAAACAACACACACGTTCTGGAGCTGAAACTACACACACGTGATCTGGAGCTGAAACAACACACATGTTCTGGAGCTGAAACTACACACACGTTCTGGAGCTGAAACTACACACATGTTCTGGAGCTGAAACAACACACACGTTCTGGAGCTGAAACTACACACACATGATCTGGAGCTGAAACTACACACACACGTTCTGGAGCTGAAACTACACACACATGATCTGGAGCTGAAACTACACACACGTGATCTGGAGCTGAAACAACACACACGTTCTGGAGCTGAAACTACACACACGTTCTGGAGCTGAAACTACACACACATGTTCTGGAGCTGAAACACACGTTCTGGAGCTGAAACTACACACACGTGATCTGGAGCTGAAACAACACACACGTTCTGGAGCTGAAACTACACACACACGTTCTGGAGCTGAAACTACACACACATGATCTGGAGCTGAAACTACACACACGTTCTGGAGCTGAAACTACACACACGTTCTGGAGCTGAAACTACACACACGTTCTGGAGCTGAAACTACACACACATGTTCTGGAGCTGAAACACACGTTCTGGAGCTGAAACTACACACACGTGATCTGGAGCTGAAACAACACACACGTTCTGGAGCTGAAACTACACACACGTTCTGGAGCTGAAACTACACACACATGTTCTGGAGCTGAAACACACGTTCTGGAGCTGAAACTACACACACGTTCTGGAGCTGAAACTACACACACGTTCTGGAGCTGAAACTACACACACGTTCTGGAGCTTAAACTACACACATGTTCTGGAGCTGAAACTACACACACATGATCTGGAGCTGAAACTACACACACACGTTCTGGAGCTGAAACTACACACACATGATCTGGAGCTGAAACAACACACGTTCTGGAGCTGAAACAACACACACGTTCTGGAGCTGAAACTACACACACGTTCTGGAGCTGAAACTACACACACATGTTCTGGAGCTGAAACAACACACACGTTCTGGAGCTGAAACTACACACACATGTTCTGGAGCTGAAACAACACGCACGTTCTGGAGCTGAAACAACACGCACGTTCTGGAGCTGAAACAACACGCACGTTCTGGAGCTGAAACTACACACACGTTCTGGAGCTGAAACTACACACACGTTCTGGAGCTGAAACTACACACATGTTCTGGAGCTGAAACTACACACACATGATCTGGAGCTGAAACTACACACACGTTCTGGAGCTGAAACTACACACACATGATCTGGAGCTGAAACAACACACGTTCTGGAGCTGAAACAACACACACGTTCTGGAGCTGAAACTACACACGTTCTGGAGCTGAAACTACACACACATGTTCTGGAGCTGAAACTACACACACATGTTCTGGAGCTGAAACAACACGCACGTTCTGGAGCTGAAACAACACGCACGTTCTGGAGCTGAAACAACACGCACGTTCTGGAGCTGAAACTACACACACGTTCTGGAGCTGAAACTACACACACATGTTCTGGAGCTGAAACTACACACACATGTTCTGGAGCTGAAACTACACACACATGTTCTGGAGCTGAAACTACACACACAAGTACTGGAGCTGAAACTACACACACATGATCTGGAGCTGAAACAACACACGTTCTGGAACTGAAACTACACACACGTTCTGGAGCTGAAACTACACACACGTTCTGGAGCTGAAACTACACACACATGATCTGGAGCTGAAACAACACACGTTCTGGAGCTGAAACAACACACACGTTCTGGAGCTGAAACTACACACACATGTTCTGGAGCTGAAACAACACACACGTTCTGGAGCTGAAACTACACACACGTTCTGGAGCTGAAACTACACACACGTTCTGGAGCTGAAACTACACACATGTTCTGGAGCTGAAACAACACACACGTTCTGGAGCTGAAACTACACACACATGATCTGGAGCTGAAACTACACACACACGTTCTGGAGCTGAAACTACACACACATGATCTGAAGCTGAAACTACACACACGTGATCTGGAGCTGAAACTACACACACGTGATCTGGAGCTGAAACAACACACACGTTCTGGAGCTGAAACTACACACACGTTCTGGAGCTGAAACTACACACACATGTTCTGGAGCTGAAACAACACACGTTCTGGAGCTGAAACTACACACATGTGATCTGGAGCTGAAACAACACACACGTTCTGGAGCTGAAACTACACACACGTTCTGGAGCTGAAACTACACACACGTTCTGGAGCTGAAACTACACACATGTTCTGGAGCTGAAACTACACACACATGATCTGGAGCTGAAACTACACACACACGTTCTGGAGCTGAAACTACACACACATGATCTGGAGCTGAAACAACACACGTTCTGGAGCTGAAACAACACACACGTTCTGGAGCTGAAACTACACACACGTTCTGGAGCTGAAACTACACACACATGTTCTGGAGCTGAAACAACACACACGTTCTGGAGCTGAAACTACACACACATGTTCTGGAGCTGAAACAACACGCACGTTCTGGAGCTGAAACAACACGCACGTTCTGGAGCTGAAACAACACGCACGTTCTGGAGCTGAAACTACACACACGTTCTGGAGCTGAAACTACACACACGTTCTGGAGCTGAAACTACACACATGTTCTGGAGCTGAAACTACACACACATGATCTGGAGCTGAAACTACACACACACGTTCTGGAGCTGAAACTACACACACATGATCTGGAGCTGAAACAACACACGTTCTGGAGCTGAAACAACACACACGTTCTGGAGCTGAAACTACACACACGTTCTGGAGCTGAAACTACACACACATGTTCTGGAGCTGAAACTACACACACATGTTCTGGAGCTGAAACAACACGCACGTTCTGGAGCTGAAACAACACGCACGTTCTGGAGCTGAAACAACACGCACGTTCTGGAGCTGAAACAACACGCACGTTCTGGAGCTGAAACTACACACACATGTTCTGGAGCTGAAACTACACACACATGTTCTGGAGCTGAAACTACACACACATGTTCTGGAGCTGAAACTACACACACAAGTTCTGGAGCTGAAACTACACACACATGATCTGGAGCTGAAACAACACACGTTCTGGAACTGAAACTACACACACGTTCTGGAGCTGAAACTACACACACATGTTCTGGAGCTGAAACTACACACACATGTTCTGGAGCTGAAACTACACACACAAGTTCTGGAGCTGAAACTACACACACATGATCTGGAGCTGAAACAACACACGTTCTGGAACTGAAACTACACACACGTTCTGGAGCTGAAACTACACACACATGTTCTGGAGCTGAAACTACACACACATGTTCTGGAGCTGAAACTACACACACATTTTCTGAGGCTGAAACAACACACGTTCTGGAGCTGAAACAACACACACGTTCTGGAGCTGAAACTACACACACGATCTGGAGCTGAAACTACACACGTTCTGGAGCTGAAACTACACACATTCTGGAGCTGAAACAACACACGTTCTGGAGCTGAAACTACACACGTTCTGGAGCTGAAACTACACACGTTCTGGAGTTGAAACTACACACACGATCTGGAGCTGAAACTACACACACGATCTGGAGCTGAAACTACACACACGATCTGGAGCTGAAACTACACACACGTGTTCTGGAACTGAAACTACACACACGTTCTGGAGCTGAAACTACACGTTCT